TGGTTTGGGTTGGTTTTTGTTAGTAGCCTATATGGCTTTCCCTTTTCCTTTCTATTATTGCTTTTGTATACTTTGCTTAGTTATTGTTCCTTGCATTATTGTTATAGTGTTGGTTTACATGGGTGTTGACCTTTTGCTCAACTATGGGAGGTTTTTTACTCGTGAGATCTGTATGGGTAAAATCCTTTATTATTATTTTTCTCTTTAGTTACTTAATTTCCATTTATATTACTCTATTTCTATATATTTTCGTTTTATTTGTTGCAGCCCTTTTGATTCTTGAAGCTTACATTTATGGATGTGATTAGGATTTTTTGCAGAAAGATTGAGCTTCATGTTCCTATATGTATCTTTCTTTTTTGGATACTTCTCTTTAGCATCATTAGCATGTTGCTAGGAATCCTTATATTTTGGCTTTGTGGGGACTATTGGCTCATATGTTTTAATTTACTTTATTTTGAAGCTCATTTGAGCATTAGGGAGCTGAGGGTCCACGTTAAGGATTGTGTAATTGTTTTGTTATTTAACACGTAGGCCCCTCCGTGTGTTTTAACTAAAAAAAGTTAGTTAACCCTTTTCCTTATGTTAGATGTTATTCAAGTGGCATTTTAGGAAACATTAGCCGCACTTACATAATCCTCCAACGAACGAACATATTTAGGGTGGATGCCTAAGTTGCATCAACCACATTATGACATGCATTCTGATGATTTATCCAAATTCAAGAAGGGAACCTTAGGTGGTTTTCTAGTTTCCCACCTATGTTTTACTGATGATGTTATTATTTTCTCTAATGGGTTTATTAATAAAGTGAGAATTATTATGAGATTTTTAAACAAAATTGAGAAAATTAGTGGTCTTAATCTCAACAAAAATAAATCATGCTTTATAACCCCCTCTAAAATGTCTTTTGATTGTATCAGTGCTACTAAAAGGGTTTCTAGTTTTAGTCACAATTCTGTTCCTCTTAAGTACATGAGTGTTCCGTTGTTTAGAGGTCGTAAAAGATCTTTTCTTTTTTATGATCTCATTTCTTCTATTTAGAAAAAACTTAATTCTTGGTAATTTAACTTTCTTCGCTTTAGTGGTAGATTAGTTTTTATTAAAAGTGTTCTTTGTTCTTTACCTATATATCTTTTCAAACTATTAATCCTACTGTGGATGTGTGTAATAGGTTGGAAAAAATCTTTAATAAGTTCTTCTAGAAAGGTAAAAGTAGTAACTCAAAAATTATCTAGTGTTCATGGTCTAACTGTTTTGGAGTTATTGAGGAAGGTGCATTAGGATGCAAAACTATGAGGGATTTAACTCATGCCTTTTCTTTCAAGCTTTAGTTCAAGTTTCAGGAAAATAAAAGTCTTTTGTCCAATTTCATTATGTTTAAGTATTGCTCTGATATTCACCCTGCCATGGGTTATTATAAGCAGGATAACTCCAGAGTTTGGAAGCAACTATGTGACATCAAACGACAGGCCGAGCCTTATATTTTATGGGGTCTTGGTAATGCTAATTCATATTTTTGGCAAGAAAAATAGCTGGATCAAACATCTATGGATCATATGCTTAACACTTTCTCTAATTAGGCTATCAAAGATAATTCTTTTATCCCTAATAATTTTTGGCATTATAACAAATTAGCTGAGGTGATTCCTGAAACCATTATTCATTAGATTTTACAAATGCCTCTTAATATTATGGCTGAGGATGTTTTATTATGTAATATGGAAAACAATGCTGATTTTGACATCAAGGAGGCTTTGCATACTTTTAGAGTTAAGAATAATTCCAATAATACTTCTTCTATGACATGGCATAAAAGTATTTATTTGGCATCTTTTGAACAACTATGTGCCTTTGGATGATAATTTAGTTAAAAGAGGTTTTAGTATGGCTTCTAAGTGTCAATATTGCTACCATATGGAAAACTTGCATCATGTATTCCTTTTGGATCTCATGGCCGTTAAAATTTGGATCTATTTTGAGGATATCTTTAAAGTTAATTATTTAAATGTTAATATGTCTATTAGGGATATGATTAACAAATGGTTTTCAAAGTCCAAAGGTCATATTACTCATCTTATTTCTTCTCTTATTTTATGACATCTTTGTCTTTCTAGGAATAACTCCCTTTTTAATGATTTGCCTTTGAAGGTTGATCAGATTATCCAGAGCATTAAAGATAAAGTTATTAAATTATTTTGTTCCCATCTTTTTTTTTTTGAAGAAAATGCATGAAATTGCATTAAAAAGAAAAACAACTATACAACCTCAAGTCACACCCAAAAAGCTAATATCCTCCTTCAGAGAATACAAGAAAGAAGGAGGAATCAAATCCAAATGCAGACTATCCCAAAAAAAAACGACCCATTTAACGCCACATTAGCACAAATATCTGCTAACTTATTACCATTTCTACCAGAGCAAGAAAAACAAACTTGCTTAAAATTTAGTAAAAAAGCTAACTCATCTTCTATAACTCTACTAACCTCCCATTTCTTAATAGATCTCTGAAGAACTTTGATGATATTGACATTGTCACCTTCTATGATAACCCCTTGGGCTTCAAATATCCATTCTTGTATGACATTATTCAGGTACAACACTGCAAGCATTTCCAAATGAGATGAATCCCAATGCAAAAGCTGGTAACCGAAACTTAACAGAAATCTCCCATTGCCGTCTCTAGCCACACCTCCAATACCAGCTACATTATTCCTTTTAATAGCAGCGTCAACATTTATTTTTATCCATCCCGGGGGAGGGGGATGCCAATGTAAAGACAACAATTGCTGGTTAGCATTCCAATTTCCCGGCTTAAAATTAATGAAATTGCTCCTTAAAGCATATGAAATTGCATTAGCTGCTATATATGTCTCAGCATCTTCTTTTTCACCATGTACTAATTTGCATCTGCTCTTCCAAACCATCCAAACCGCTGTACAGAAAATATTAGCCAACAAAGCATTCCTTCTTTGCAACTTCTGAAGTTCATTTAAATAATCATCCAGATTATCAAAAACAGGAACATTGAACCCCCGTTTATTCAAAATCAAGATAGTTCTCCTGAGTTTCGAACAGCTACTAACAATGTGGCTCACATTCTCCTCCTCATCACATCCTCTTGGACATTCAACTAAGGTACTCAATCTTCTTCTCAGAAGGAAAGAAAAAGTAGGTAATGAATTGTTGCATATTCTCCACCAGAACAGATCAATAGCTGGTTTAAGCTTTATCTTCCTCATCCAACTCCATTGATTATTAACCTCCTCCTGATTCATACTAGCTGACGAAGCCAATGCAGTGATAGATTTACCGGAAAACTTATGTAAAAGTTCTATCTGATCAACCTGTCTTCTGTTATCAATTGGAATATTTGAAATAATCTCAATCAGCAGATTCCCAAAAGTTTCTTTCAGTTTGTCAAAGTTCCACTGACCATTAGAAATGAAAATGCTGAGGGGGAGGTCTACGTATTCTTGAACATTAACAAAGGTAGTCCACATAGCAAATTTTCTATCCAAAATCCACTTATCATACAACCAACTGATTGAATCACCATTAGAGATCTTCCATCTAGTCACCTTTCTCAAAAATCTAGAATCCATAGCAACAATTTTCCAAGTTATTGAACACCCAGTCCTAACCGAAGGGGACCAAATATCAGCTCCATACTTAGCTTTCAAAATCTGGTTCAAAACTGAATCTGGGTTGTTAAAAAATTTCCAAACAAATTTCGTCCGAAGAGGACCAACTTTTGATATCGCCGAGAAGAGACCTCTACCACCTTCACATTTCGGTTTACAAAGCAATTCCCAAGATACGTAGTGAATTCCAGCATTTCCATCCCCCTTACTCCAAAGAAAACTTCTACACATCTTATCAAAATCCTTCAAAACTCTTAAAGGAACAAGAGTAAGAGAGGACATGAATAGAGGTAAAGACAAAAAAGCAGACTTTACCAAGACTATTCTACCTTCAAGAGAGATCTTCTTTGAGCCCCAAGTATTTAGTCTACCAGCCGCAGCCTCCAAAAGATTCTGGAAATCCGCTATTTTCAATCTCCTCAAAGCCATTTAAATACCAAGATAATAGATCTCCTTAACCTTTTTAAATTTAAGAATCTTCATCATTTTCTTATGAACCCTTTTCCTTGTATTCTTTCCAAACAATATCATGGATTTGGTTTGATTAACCATCTGGCCAGTCCAATCACAATACTTGTTTATAATTCTCCTCAACTCCTTAACCTCCTTCACCTTAGCCTCCGAGAAAATAAGAATATCATCCGCAAACAAAAGATGAGAAACTTTAGGAGCTAATCGAGCAATAGAGATACCTTTATTAATCCTAAAGCAAAGAGCATCAGACAAAATCTGA